TCGTTAGCAGTGAAAATACAGCAGAAATACCCTGTAAGTTTTGCACCATGGCAGCTTTGGCATGCTCAGTTGTGATGAGCAGTTACAGCAGTAAAGATTAAATAGTTTTTGTCTGCTGTACTTTAACAATGAAACATGGCATGGAATCAAACCCATGGCATGAATGATTCTTTTTTTTTGGTTATTCACATTTTTACAAAAGCCTACCAGTGGACTTGGACAATCCTCAAAGGAGTGTGTAATTAAAAACAAAATTTGTATGGAGGGATCTGCTTGTAGTATTATCTAATACTAAGTTCTCAGAAAAAGCAGTTGGGAAAACCAAAAAGGAAAACATTGAATTGTTGTCAGTGTCTTTGAGCACTTCCCTTGGCTATTTTACTCTATCTCTGTTCTTTTTTTTCCTAATAGTCCATTTGCCTAGATTTATGAGGTTTTGTTAGTAAGAGCTTTGGATGTTGAAAATACTATTGGAAATATCCTCTTGAAAAATTAGTTCAGAGCTCTCTTGCCTTAAGTTGTCTTCAAATGTTTTTTTACTGATCCAGTTCGGAGAAAGGAACAAAACCTTCAAATAAGGCCAACAGAGCACAAGAAATGAAGGAACTGACACACGTGATATTGGTTCCCTCCAGAATGAAATCTTGGTTTGTTTCTTATTTTGGTCTTACACCACAGACAGATCAAACCTCTGAATCGCTTTGGAGTAACTGATTGCACTGTCAGCAGGCCGGCCCTCCAGCTCAGGAGGCTACAGCTGTTTTCTGCTATTCCTCATCTCTCCCCGACATCTTAACAAGGCTGAAACCTCTGTGACCCAAGTGCAACAAGTATTTAGAGCATTGGCTAAAGCACTCAGCAGCACCCAAGATGTTGCCTGGGAAATACCTTTTGCAGCTGACAAACAAACTGAAACTTTTGCAAATTGTCACAAAAAAGATTCAGGCCTGTGGGAACTCATCTTGTGGTTGAAGGAGTGAAAAGAGTACGAGGACTGAGGCGGAAGAGCACGGCCTGCCGGTGCTGCCTCCGCTGCCCTTTGTACAGGAGCTTAGAGCAGCGCTTTCCTCTCCACTTGAGACACGTGGTCGGGGCAGGAGAAGCAGGAACAGCCATGTTGTTTTGCCCTATGCTGAATACATCAACCCAGCACCTAAACGAGTTGCAGCACAATAAGATAGGGGCATCGCGATGTGCCCTCGCGAAGAGCAGTGGAGAGACCCTCATCCTCTGGCTCTGGTAGGCCACATAACCCGGGTCAGGTGATTATATTTTGAGAGCTCCATGTGGATGTCGTCTGTCCGCATGAGCTTGTGTGATGGCACTTCTGAGAGAGGGAAAGTCTGACCTGCATTTTCTTATTGCAGGCATCGGTAGCTCAGTGTGGTTTAGCTGGCCTTTGCTCACTTCTAATTTTGTGTTTTTGTGCTGTTTGTACACAAAGAAATGTCACTCCAACTCATACCTACCAAGTGAAAGTAGGTTGTCATTTCCAAAAATGGGTGAAGATTATTCAAACACAGATCTGATCTGGAACTTCTTAACATGCGTTTAAAGGCTGTTGCCTCTGTAGGACGGGCTGTGTGCACACTTTCCTTTTTACTTACCACTGAGGACATAGAGTCCTCCTGCTGCTTGGATGTCACTTAATGGAAATCCACCTGCATTAGTGTTCTCTCACGAATCCTTTCTTTGTACAGAGTTCTTGCCCACACGCTCACATTTCAGTAACAGGCAAGGTAAGCACGTAGGGTTCGAGCATCTTACTTTCTCCTTCCCTATCCTGCCATTCCCCCTAAAAACGCAAACAGTTCAGAAGGAAGGAGAGATAAAGGAGGAAAGGACTTTCTTTGGCATCAGATGAAACTGCTGAACTGTTAGACCTCTTTGTAACTGGGAGAGAAAAATATGCGACTTTTGGTTTTCTGATTCTGCTCATTTGTCCATTTGATAAGATGCATTAATCCATTTATTATTAATTTTTAGGAAGTACAAAGCTCAATGCAGTTTGAATAATTAATTCCTATTAATATGTTTTTAATTATTAATATGCCTAAAATCTATGTTCTGGTATGCAACTAAATTTACTAGTACATACGATCATATGCATTGAAGCCAGAAGCCAGGATAGTGTGTATTTGAGAACTGAATTAGGTACAATTTGAAGTGAGAACTACAAGCAAAAAAAGAAGTATGTGTGAACATCTGCCTATGAGCAGGAACCCAGCTTACGTATACAAAGGCCAGTAACAGCAGAAGTTCAGGTTACAACTCAGACTATAATTCCAGTGAGAGACCTCCACTAGGGCACCAGGGCCCACTTTAGACTGCAATTCTGTTGCTTTCTCTTGGTCACATAAAATGTGATGTATTACTTATGGCAAGATGATTAACAGGATTTCCTAAGATTTACAAAGAAAAATGTGTTTTATTGTCCAAACATAGCACGAGTTCTCCCAGGCTTGCTTCTCTGCAAAATCCAAACCTTAGCCCTATCACCACCACCACCAAAAAAAATGCTACCAAGGGATAGCTGATGTCTGATCCAAAAGCCTCTTTGAGCCTAGAGGTTTAGTGTCCGAGTACAAATTCTGTCTTTCCTAATTTCAAAGGTTTCCTTAATGTTAAGACTTTAAGGAAAACCCTTCAACTTTACTTTCAATGGCAGTATGTGGGTGTTTTTCCAAGCTAACTGAGGATCTGAATTTCAGCCATCTCTGAGCATGCTCGTACATGTTAGTTTTAAACGTGCATCCTCTGCACTCGTTCTTGACTTGTATATGTGCCTACATGTATTCATGTATATGTACATGTATTTTCACCCTCTGACACTCCCCACCAGACAGGTGTTGTGCTTGGCCCAGGGGAAAGCAGTTGAGGAATGAGCACAAGTGCACCTTCATTTAGGCACACACGGGTGTATTTTTATTGTCCTGTTGAAAGTCAGACCTGAAAGTGCAGGTCACTCTTGCAGGCTGCTCAGATGCACTGTCTATCCCCAGAGTCTCAGCAGTTTTAGCAGTCAAGAATTTGTATTTCCCTTTTGCAGCCACCCTGGTGACCACGGCAGAGGCCAACCAGTGGCTGGAGCGCTTAGGAGTCCTTCAGCTCTGAGTTCAGGCCTTTACAGAGCCCAGTTGTTGCAGGCCACTGTTTAGCCAAATATTTAAGTTTACACTGAATACTAAGCATATGCTAATGTCATTAGTAATCACTGAATCCTGTAGCACTAATGCATACTTGCAGTCAAGCACATGCAGAAATATCTTGTTGGATGAGTTACATGAATGTTTATAACCTGTTTTTAATACAATATATGCCTTCTTAGTTTAACAGCAACAGAAGCAAAATCTCTTATCTGGACTGTTAATATTTAACAGTCATAACAACAACCCACTTAAAAACTTGTTGGTAAGAGTGCCTTAGGTAGAGAAATTATCTTACATCTGCTAGCAACAAAAACAACAACAAAAACCCTTAAATAACCAGTGATACAAATAAATGAGTACCTATTTCCTGCCATATTTTGCCAAAGCACTTATCAAAAACACTTTCAAAAACCATCAGTTTACTAAATGGTTAATAATATGTGAGAGAGGAATTACCAGCGTGTAGACACAGACTGGCCCTGGTTTTTGAGCAGTTGTGTCTCATTTGCTTTCCAAGCACTCGCGCCGCTGCTTGACTAACCCCTGGCCCAGCTGTGTAAACAAGAGGCTCTCGGGCTGCCGCGCAGACGGCGGGAGGAGGAACCAGCGCGTCGCATGTAGCGTGGGGATAAACAACCTCGTGACACCGCTGGCCTCCTTCCTCCCGGGGCTGCTTCCCAGGCTCCTTCCTTGGTAGCGCCCGTGAAAGCTGCTCCTCCCGCAGGCGCGTTGGGCTTTGCTTCCCGGAGGAGGCAAGTGGGCAAGGCAAACGTATGATCTGGTGGCTGAAGCGCTGCCCTCGCACCTTGGGGCAAG